TCTGTGACTGAGCGCCTCAGCACCCAGCTGGGGAGTGTAACTCAGTCACCTGTAAGGCTGACCTCCCACATAGTCCCCCTTTCTTAATATTAAAAAAAAAGAATGTAATTGGGAAATTTTCTTTCAGTCACTTGGCTCATCTGAAAATATGCGTTCTTGATGTCAATATCCCTCTCACACACCATAAACCGAGAAATAAGCAACGAGTGATTTCCAACTGCAGGAGGCAGTAAGGGATAGTGTTTAGGAAACTGGCTGGAGAGCCTGCTGGGCTGGGGCTCCTTGCCTGTACTCTCTGGGCCCGTTTCTTCATGCTTCAGGTGACAGTGGTTCACTGAATGATGTCAAAGTGTTTTTCTAGATCTTCAACTATCATGCACCAGAAAAGGTATAGGAAAATATTTTCCCTCGGTGGCTACCTTCAGAAAATGGACCCACCTCTGCCATGGCGAAGGTCCTGCCTCCCGTAGAAGAAAACAGACGTGGTTCCGGCTAGCTCAGAAATGATTTCAGTTTCTACAGAGACCCCTGTGCACTCGGTGGATACTTTTATTTCTTCAGTCCACACCATGCTTTCTCTAAGCAGCCCAAGATATTTGCTGAAATCTCTGAGACCTGGGAGGCAGCAGCCCACCCCCCAGAACAGAGAAACACCCAGGGCTGCAGGCCCCGCCACCCAAGTGGGCTGTCTACAATAGCTACAGACGTGTACTGAGTCACAGGGAACCGCAGGTGTGCTGCTGACTCAGGACCAATGAGACTGTGAGGAAGGGGATGATGGCCTTTGAAGGAAGCCCAGGGTTCCTGGCCAGGAACAGTTAAGGGGAGGCTGAATGAGGGAGGGCCTAGCAGAACCATGCTCTTCCCACCTCATCTGCCACTCTAAGCAAGACATCTTGCAGCAGCTGAGCTCAAGGCCAACGAGTCCTATGACTTCAGGCAAATCTTCAGGAGACTACACACACCCCTGTCCTGGTCTTCACTGTCCTGGACAGACCAGACCCCATGGTGGAGTATATGAGAACCACCACCCCAGGTGTATGTGGCAGTAACAAAGGCCATGCTAAATGTCTCTTTTTCTGGGACCCAAGAGTGGAGGGGGTCTGCAAGGCAGGTTCCTGGGACCCAAGGAAAAGTCTACTAATCAATTCTGCAGCGTTGGCAGGGCTTGGCTAGAAGGGGTCAGGAGTCAATGAGCACTCTTCTTGGAGCCAGAACCGAGATCATGTTCCCAGCTAGCTCTGTGACCTCGAGTGCCCGCCTAAAGGTGGATCTGGTCCGAGTAGCACCAGCAACCCCTCCCCTCCCCCACTTCCTTGTCACTCTCCCAGAGACTGCCTGGAGAAGACACTTCCCACACCTTTGCTGGGTTTTCACACAACCTCTTTCCCTATAGCTTTCCCTTATATAAAATGGTAATAATAAGGCTGGTTTCTTAATTTTCAAGATGAAACAAAAGCTGCCCATATTCATGGAGTTCTTCCTGCCAGAGCAGACCCCAGTACTGCTTCTCTGACTGGACCTAGAATCCAGGTGAAAGATGTAGATGTAAAGGCCAAAACAGAACTCTACAAAATTTGAAAGTCAACAAGTTAAGGGGTTCTGAATGTGGAGAGCATGGATTCTCGGAGGAACCATGACTAGGGTAGATGGATGTCTGTACTCTCTCCAGAAATCAAAGCATAACTCAGTGTAGGAATGTAAAAATTTTCTAGGGACAGGATATCAAAATTCTAAAGGGTCCTGACCTATCCCCCCTGCTACCTGCACGCACAAATACAATTTATATGCACATTCTAAACCCTCCATTCGAGGACAGCCGTAGGAGAGGCAAACCAAATCTCTATCGCCCAAGCACCCTGTTCCTGGGCAGCCTGTTGTAATGGGATGCCCTTCCCAGGGGGCACCCTCCTCCCTGGTACCCTGTGCTGGGGGCCTTTCCAGCTCAGTGCTGGGGTTTGGTGCAATCATCAGGCTTTTGCGAAGCTGAAGAGGAAGCCAAATTGGAAGAGAGGAACCCAGCACAGCCACTTCCATGACACCTGCTGTGACAGGCACTTGGGGACATGGTCTCGGGCTCCCCCCCCCCCCGCCCCTAAGGCAGCCCCTTTTTTCTGTTTAACTCAGGTTCATGGGCTACGTACGAGTTGCCTGATGACTGCTGGACTTGCTGGGAAGGGAGTTATTTTAAGATATAAGCTATTTTTATTTTATCACCATCATTATGGCTATAAAGAAGATAAGTCTGGGGTATTAATCCTCTGGAACACAGGCTGGGGACTGGATCCTTGACAAATGCGGAGATGGATAAAAAGGGGGCTGATAACAGTGTCGGTTCCAAAGAGCAAAGAGACGCCAAGCACGTGGCTGCTGTCCTTGTCCTTCAGTATCACCTGGGCTCTGGCTTCTCATTCATCCTATTTCTTATCTTCCAGCAAGATGATTTAAAAATGACGGCATCTTGACTCCAGTTTTAGCACTGAGAGCATCTCCTCCACTCTCCTGTCTCTCCTTTACAGAAAAGGATGACCTCTCTCTCGAAATTCATTTCCTTTTCTCCTGGGGCCTGGTATAGCACCTTCACCTTCTGATCACCTGGGCAGCCCTAGCCTAGGAGCTGGACCTTCTGGTTTCTACCTGAATTCAATTACAGAGTACCTGTGTGCCTGACCGCTTAACCCTCTGAGCCTCAGTTTCCTTATCTGCAGAAAGAGGGGCTGCATTTAAAGATCTGGAAATCAGGGGCTGGAGTTATACCTCAGTTGGTAGAGCATTTGTCTACCAAATTTGGCACGTGATACGCACTGGGTTCAATCCTCAGCACCACGTTATAAAAAAATAAAGGTATTAAAAAAAAAACACTTAAAATCTGAAAGTTAAAGCACTAAGTCTTCAGTGATTGTTACAATTTTGCAAGGAACTTCAAGACATGCCCACAGTGATTCTGAAGAAACGTAGTGATCCATAGCTCAACAGGTAACTAGATGAGGTGAGAGAAAGAAATCCAGGAAAAACCTGGCTTTTATTTTACAGGTGCCCAAGGGGATGGCAAAAAAGCACAAGTAACAAGGGTTACAATGCTTATTCCAGGGCCACTCAAGTTCTAAGTGCTTTGCAGCCTAACCCACCAGTTCTTCGCACACCCAGTGGATGTACTCTGCTATGAGGCAATTCACAGATGAGGCACCAAGAGGTCACACAGCAGTCACCAGACAGCAAGTAAAAAGGGGACTCCAGAGCCCACATTCTGGAGCCCTTGGCCACTCCTGGGGGGGCCTCTGTCGGGTGTACTGTCATCCCCAGCTCCGCTCCCACAAACATGCACCCCATTTGCCATAAGCCTCGGTTAGCTCATCCTTCAGGAGGGACCAGAGGTCATTCATCAGCTAAACTTGGGGGGAATCTCATTTGGGGTAACAAGGTAGAGGGAGAACATTCTGAATCCACTTTAGTAGTGCCTCAAATAATTCCCCCCATCCCCCGTCCAATGCTGAGCACATGGCCAGTGCCTGAGGTCCAGGGCTGTGACTGATTGGGTTGGGCAGGACCCCCCTGTCCCAAGTCTAGCTTACAAAGAGGGAGGCCTTACCTGTTTGTCTGGCAGACCCCATGATAGGCCTCAATGGCATCTTCCTGGTCCACATGCTTTTCACTGTTAGGCCAACTTGCTCTGGCATTAATGTTTGGCTCCTGGAAGGCCCCACATAAACAAAACACCTTGGATTACAAAACTGCATGGAATGGCTTCATAGACAGAGGTTTAAAAACACGCCTCTAGGAAAAGAGAAAAGACCTGAAAGATCTCAGATGGTAAGAAGGTGACTTCAAAAGGTCACCTTGCATCTTGGGAGGGTTACAGAATGGCAAGGCCCACCCATGAGACGCTGAGTGCTAGCAGTGGGGGAGATGACACGAACAGTGACACTGGAAGGAAAAAACACCCCTTGTCCAGAGGACACGATTAAAGTGTGGCTTGGCGTTGAATCCGCCACACTCAGTACCGTCTCCTCACAGGCCACTCCAGCCCCCAGGCCCAGAAGTCACCCAGCATAGGCCACAGATCTCAGAGTCATTCAGATGGCCTCTGTCCCCTTCCTTCCACTCTCCATTCTGTCCCAGAAGGTGCAACATCAAGAACACTAAGTGGGACATGGTCACCCTGGGAGGACACAGAACAGTTCTCTCCACTTCAGAAGTGAAGTAAATAGCAAGAGGCATGAGATGAAAATCACAGCCACCTCCGAGTACCTAGCTAATTCTATCTCATTCCTTGTGAACATCTCATTAACTTCAGGATATTCTAGAAACATCTACATCTGGCTTGGGAAAGCTCATGCTTAAAGGGCAGCGAGTCCCTTGTGATGCCTTGAGAGGAGACCAGAGTCAGACTCTGCTCTTTCAGACTCAAGACCCTGATGGGTAAAGACACATAAGAAAACCCATGCCTATGACCTAGTGTCACCCACACCAAGCCCAACCACGGCCGCCATCTTGTTACCATGCTCTTGCCAGCAAGTCGGCGCTGGTCAGCGTTCACGATCTGGGTCCTGAGGATGAGCACCTCCTCTTTTCGGACCTCCAGCTCCTCGTTGGCCAGCTTGAGCTGGTTCAGGAGGAGGCTGTAGCTGTCAGGGGAGCTGTGGGAGGAGTTGTTCTGTGTGGCCTGGTCAGCTACTGCTTTCCTCAGCTCATTCAGGTCATTCTTCAGCTTCTTGTTCTCCGACTCCAGCTCCTGCCTCTGGAAGACAGCCCAAGTGACACTCCCCATTACTGTCTGGATCCAGGGCACTCTCCCCTGTGGGCCTCCTCCTTTCCTGCCTTAACCACTTGCCCTGTCTACTGGGGAAGTGAAGAGCCATTTCCCCATTTCAATAGCAAAATGCACGATGAAAGTTCTGACTGGCATCAGCAAGCAATGCTGGGACCTGGATTTGAACTCACAACCCCAAGTTCTCTGTGTAAGGTATGTCGCAATCTCTCTCTAGCATTCCCCAAAGTCGTTCAATACGCTAGTGTTTCCAAGCACATTTGGCTATGACACCCTTCTTTGTTGAAACATTGGGCTGTTTTTTCCAATACTGGGGACCAAATCCAGGGCTCATAAATGCTAAGCAAATGTTTTACGCCTGAGATACACTCCCAGTTGATCATTTTAAACATGCTGTTAGCACAGGACTTTCTGAAGCCTTAGTATGCCCGTATGCTTTTTGACTTTCCAAGAGGGGATATAGAATGCAGGGTTGCCTTAACTTATTTGTCCTGAGCACTCCCCTGGTTTTTTCAAGGAACATCATGTGGATTAATATACTGGAGAACATACCAGAAAATGTATTGCCATTTTGATCACATGGAAAACCAGTAACTCAATGCCAGTGCAGGGAAAACCCCTAGTATACAGTTAAGATCGCGGTTGAGACAACTTGGAAATGTGTTTTACATCTTCTAGGTAGTATATTTAACTTTGTGTTTGAGATGAGGTCTAAATTTAAAGTCCTATGATCACAAATTGCTGGTACAGCTCTGGCAGAGACAGGATTCAAAATTTCTGAGAAAACAAATGTGAAAAGTAGACGCTGCTGGTGTGTGTTTATTACAGAGCCCTAGGATGATAGAACCAGGACACCACCTCTATTTTCCACACGAGGAAGGAGAGTCCAGGGAAGAGAAGGATCACAGTGAGTTTAGACACTGAGCTGGACGAGGGGCTGGGACTCTCGCGCCCTCGTCCAGAGTCTTTCGCACCACTCCAACCTACACGTGAAGATTTCAGGGGAGATGAGCCACACATGGTGTGATTCTGCAGACACAAGTGGGACCCTGGGGGTAAAGTGACCAATGCTTAATATTACTGATGAGTTTATCAGCCCCATGTGAATCTATTAAGTCCAGAGGTCAAACCCACTCAGTGCCCGAGTGGCATTCTCAGAGGTGGCCGAGGGCGGTACTCAGGACATCCCGCATTGCTTGGCAGAGGAACACCAGGCTTGGAGCAGGCGCCCTGGGTTCTTACCCTGGCTCAAGGCTACTCCGACCATCCTGGGCCTTTGCCTCCTCGGGTGTGGCTTAAAGGAGTGACAGCAGATGGGGTCTGAAGTGTTCTCTAGCTCTGATCAGCCAGACGGTCTCAGTGACATTGGCTGAAGGCTAGGTGTCTGTGTGCAGCCATCCCATGTCCCTGCTCAGAAGCGAGATCTTGCTCTAGGACAAAGGCAGCCACGTGGGGGAAAGTGTGTCCGCTTTCCCGCAAAGATTTCTACCCAGGGGACAGCTGTGAAGTGTCTCTTCACGCCTTCTCCAGCCGCCCCTGGATGCTCTCCACCTTCCCCAGGTCCCTCCCAGCACCTCTGCCCTCTTTGCTGACTGTCATCCTCACACCATTCCTGCTGGTCAAACAGTGTCAAAAAACTACGTGTTTATTGTGGTTGGAAACACATAACCCAAGATTTGCCATCGACTCTTGTTAGGTGCGTGTTTCTGAAACTTCAGCATGTTCACATCACTCTGCAAACTTTACCTCCTCCATCTCCACATTCTTTCCCCTTCCCAACTGAAAACGTCCCTATTAAAAACCAACTCCCAGGATGGGTGCAGTAATACATGCCTATAATCCCAGGTACTCAGGAGGCTGAGTCACAACTCCAAGTTCAAGGCCTATCTGGACAACATAGTTGAGATTCCATCTCAAGAAAACAAAAAAATTCTCCAGCAACCGCCCTCGCCCCCTGCCCCTACCCCTCCCCAGTCCCTGGCAGCCTTCACTCTACTTTCTGGCTGATTCTGACCCCTCTAGGTACCTCATCTGAGTATCATCACACAGTGTGTGTGTGAAGGACATACTTTTGATGCACTTAGATGCCATGCTGTCCCAGCTTGAGGTCAGTGGAGTTCTGGTCCTTTTTCCTTTTCCCCCCACCAATTATTCTCGGCCTTTACATTAGGCACCATGCTTGGTGCTGTGGACACAGAACCCCACACCTGGAGTCTAATGATTACACTAAAGGACAAACCATTACATTGTTTGGAACATGCTGTGACCCAAGTGAACCAGGGGACAGAGAAGACACCACCTACTGAGTCTTAGGGGTAAAAACAGGTTCCTGGAGGACAGGAGATGCCTAACCTGACAAGTAAAGGACCAGGAGCAGTTAGCAGCATGGGAGGACTTCCAGGTCCAGGTATAAAGGCTCAACAAAAGGGGAAGCAGGGCTTGCTCAGGAAACGCTGTTCTGAGGAGGAGTGCACGGGGCCAGGAGGGGGAGGGGGCCGGGAGGGGCTGTGAAAAGCCAGGGAAGGAGCTGGATTCGGGAAGGGCAGCACCTCACAGAGGCCTCTTCCATTGCTATGGGGAGACTAGACATCTGGGCAGAGGAAGAGCAAGGTGGCAAGGGTGGCAGCATCAAGGACAGAGTGAGTGCATGTCCCCGAGTTAGGAGGTAGAAGTCTCAGGACTCAGGAGACTATCTGGATATTGGAGGTGAGAGAGAAAAGCAGCTGGGTATTTGGGCCACGTTGATGCCCTAAAGGGGCTTTGGAGTTCAGACAGTCCACAGTGATCCCCATGGTGCAACGGCAGTCAGAATGATGGTTCAAGAATTCTAGATAAAAGGGTGAGCTAGAGGTAGACCAGTGTGTGGATAATGATGGACATTTGGGAGGGTACATGGGATGGGGGTGGAAACATCCAGGAAAACCATGCAGAGGACACCTGAGAGCAGGCCAGGGGTAGGGTGCTGCACACCCCACATTCCATGTTCCCCTTTCAGGGCTCCTCTGGCCTGCCCCTGGTCTCTCAAGTGGCTGGATTAGACACTGAACTAGGCAGAGGAACCTTACTGTAGAGAATTTAGGCACCTATTTTTTAAAGTTTTGTTTCACTACATTCCCGGAGAGCACCCCATAGAGGTGTCCACTGTGAAGTGAGCCTCAGTTCCCCTGGGAAGAGTGCTAGCACTGAAGGCTGCATGACTTCAGTTAAGGGACAAATGTGTTTCTACATAGGATCCATGCCACCCCCACAACCCTGCTACTCCACAATGTTTTAAACCAGTAAAACCAATCCATGTCCTATAAAATAGGCTAAAGTTGTACAACCAGCTCCATGTCAGAGTAGTTGCTTTCTTAACATTCTGAAGAATTCTAGTGGAATAATCATGAATGAGCCTGTTCCTCAAAGAAACAACAACAACAAAAAAACCCAAACCTAGTTTCATGAATGCACAATAGTAAAACATGGGAACAATGAACATGCTCAAATTTAGAGAATCAAAGAAAATTGTTATAAAATTTCAACCACCCATGAAAATCATGCATACAGAGATCATGAAAAAAAAATCCTCATCATATTAAGTGAAAAATATCAAGTTACATATATCAGCTATATAAGATATATAGAATAAGCATTGGAAAGAAATATTCAAATAATTTTAGAGGCTGCTTTTAAGAGGCAGGGATAGTGTTTTTTGAAAAAGTTCTTTCATATTTCCCAGTATTTTTTTCCATGATAAGCAGACTTACTTTAATAAATTTACAAATAAAATGGAAAGTCTCTGTAGAAAAAGCACATTAAGAAAGAAAAAAAACCCTACCCCTGTCAGGACTTTAATTGGACCTTTCTTGATTTATGCTCATCAATGGACGAGGCAAAGTTTGAGTGGTAGGTTGAGATGGAAAGGATTTAAGTGCCAACCTGGGCTCTTAGACACCTTATTTTTCTTCTGCAAGCTGAGTCAGCGCTCACCATCTCCTGATCTCAATCCAGCTCTGGCCGATAGCAGGAAAACCCAGAGCTGCAGGTATTCTTGAGCAGGTAAACCTTCTGCCCAGCACACTCCTAGGTCAGAGGCAGTCACAGGTCCTTTTGGCACCTGTTCTATCCCTCAGCTGATACCCGGCTCCAGGGGATAGTGAGCTTCGGCCCCACCTACTTTGACAACATCCATGGCTCACTCTCCTCTGCCTTGTTCACCCTAGACTGGTGACTATTGAAGGGCATCTCATCTTCCAGCCCAGCCACACCCCCTCAGGCCTCCTTAGACAATGCTCTGCCCCATGTGACCATCCCCAAGGACCTTTGACCAGACCTTATCCCCAATAGGTGGCATACCCAAACCTTGTGCATGGTACCTGAACAATGTGCCTCTGTCCAGAGCTGGGGTTACGTTATGTGTTATAGAAGGGTCTAACATTCTGGCAGTGAGTACCTAGGTTTCAACAAAAATTACTTCTCTTTGAAGGGTCTTCCAAGTGTATCCTCATCTCATACATATGCTTGTGGGCAGGTTTCTAAGACCCAACTTGATAACAGTCAAGTAAGGATGAACTAAATATAGTAAATACAGAGTAAAATTATTATTCCTTAAAAATTCTGACATGCTACAAGATGGGTGAACCTTGACATTATTAAACTAAGTGAAATAAACTGGTCATAAAAAGATGAATATTGTACAATTCCACTTACATGACATACCTAGAATAGTCCAATTCATAGAGATAGAAAGTAGAATGGTGGTAGTCAGGGGATGAGGAGAGAGAGGAAAGGGGAGTTACTTAATGGAGGTAGAATTTTGTTTTTTCAAGATGAAAAGAGTCATAGGGATGGATAGTGGTGAGATGCTTGCATAATATGTGAATATATTTAATATCACTGAACCAGATGCTCAAAAATAGTTGAGATGGTAAATTCTACATTATGTGCATTTTACTATGGTAAATTTGGAAGGAAAAAAAGCCATAGAAATGATTTAATGATGTTTTCTTGGGCAACGTGGCTGCCAGCAGTTATCTGAATGGCAGACTGGATAAACTGCCCCATTACCAAGTGTTTGGGGATAGGCCAAGAGCGTGGGGCTCTTCTCATACCATGGGCCCACTTGTCCTTGCCCCAGGCCTCCACCACTGCACCTTGCTGTCTCCTACCAGGCCAGCCTCTGACATACACAGGATCATCCCTCTGCCTTACATCTGCTGGTGCAAGTCTGCACTTTCCAAGCAATTTCATTCCAGTGGCCACACTTCAACTGAAACTGTATCAGGTAGGCCAGGCATAGATTAGTGTACCTTGGGGTAAATATAAACTTTCCTTCATTTAAAAAATGAAGACAAACTGTGAAAGGAAATTAGAGCCTGGTTTTCTTGTCCCAGCTTGTCATTTGCTCTATGCCGGGGGACAGCCAACCTTACCTTCAGACTATTGTAGGCCAGATCTGCATCCTGGTCCAAATCTACATCATTCCTTGGTTGTTCCATCTGTATAGGCAAAGACACAGACAGGTAAGCATGGACTGCAGGGCACACAGTCCACACAAGTATTTCTGACCAAAGTCAAAACTTGCTTATCTTGCTTTGGCAAGAATACCTGGCACCTCTTCCCTTCACGAGTGCATTTCCCTCCCACTTACAAAACACAGCTCCACACTCAAGCTACCACGAGGCACTCCATAAATTCCCTCCTCCTGCCTCTATTTCACGTGCACGGTACCTGGAGGCAACCATAATACTGAATACACATGACACCATGTTATGGGTGTGCTCCCCCCAGACCCTGTGAATATGACCTTATTTGGAAATAGGGTTTCTGTAGATATAATCAAGGTAAATGAAGTCATTATGGGGAGCCCTGTTTCCATAGGACTGGTGCCCTCATAAGAAAAGACAAACATGGAGGGAAGGCAGCCATGGAAAGATGGAAGCAGGAATTGGAGTCACACAGCTGTAGGTCAAGGAGCACCAGGGGTTGCAGGAAATGCTGGAAGTCAAAACACAGCATGGGACACACTTTCCACTATAGCCTTCAGAGCACAGACTTAGAATTCTGACTTTTGGACTCTGGAACTATGAAAAACAAACTTCTGTTGTTGCAAGCTACTCAGTCAGTGGTATTTGGTTTCAGAAGCCCTCGGATGCTAATATACATGGTAAAACTTCAGTATCTATTAATGAGGTTAATGAGCTACACTTCAGTTATGGGGATGTGCTCATGTGTATTCTGTTTCAACTAATTTCAAAGTGCCTTGCTTACAGCTACCTCTTCCATGACCCTCCAAAACAGGAAGCAGGATACCTGGCCCATAGGGATGCTCATTATATGCAGTCTGCCTTCAGGATTCCAAAGCTTTTGGCTGTGCACGGTAATGGCTGGAATAAAAAGACTCAGCTGAGCCAAGGAATCCTGTAGTTATGTGGCAGTCATTGGACTTGATTTGTCCATGGAGAAAAGGTAGAAACAGCTTCATAAGTGCTTAACTGCTTGGGTTAAATTTCAGTAATGGGTGTTATTCCTGAAGATGAGTCTACAGTTAAAAACTTCCAAATACTTATGAATTACCTACAGTGCTAACAACCCAACGTCCAGGTAAGGCCGTCACTAGCTGTGGATGGATTGGGTGTGCCCTGAACTTAGAGATGGGCACAGGGCCTGAGCACCTCCTGTAGCCCTTGCCACCTATAGCCACTGCATTGCTTCTAGCACTACAACCTGGGGAAAACCCCACCTCTGTCTTGTCCGTCCTGATCCCCTGTGGTACAAGGGATGTGACTGGCCAGGACTGACACTCCAACTGTTACCCCAGTGAGTAAGCCTGCATTTTATTCTGTATAGAACACATTGGCCTCAAGACAACATGGTTTTCAATACTGAGATTTTCAGAAAATGGGGATCACCTCTTCAAACTCAAAGGGCTGAGTACTAAGATGGGCTGTTTCCCAGGGCTCAGTCTTCTGGAATTCCTCTAGTGGCCAACGAGAAAAACTTTGCCAGGCCTGGGGAAAGGAAGCTGGGTAGATGGGAGGTCAAAATGAACTGGCAGCTGGCTCATTGCCACAGAGGACCCACCTTTGCAGAAGCTCAGTTGCGCCCACACCTGGGGTACATCCCAGACTTCCCTGCTATTTCTTGCTCAGGAATGACCTCTATGGCTGGGACCTGGGGCCATCTCTCTCCAGAAAAACAAAAACACTTGGTAGCTCAGGATTCCTCTGGGAATGGAGGGCAGACTCAGGACCCTGATCTCTACAAGCTTCATCTCAGGGGCTCTAGAGGGATTCCATCCTCTTCCCTGCCCCATGCCTGCCCTTCTTACTAAGCTGCTGGAAACAAGGACATTCTCTTTAAAAACCATGCCAAGACCCATGACAGCACTAGGGTGTGAGCCTATCATTCCAATGCTTGCTCAGTGAGATGTTTCAAGGAAAGAGATACCCTTTTACTTGGTATCAATGACACACAAGTTTGAGGTCAGGAACTTGTGTCAGGCATTGTCTGGTGTGGTCTGCATAGCTTTTCATGTATATAGTCTCTGATGATGGCCAACTTATCATCTTTCAAGTTCATGATGGTATGAAAACACTATGCATTCAGCAGAAAGTGTACTTCAAATTTTGAATTTGGATCATCTCCCAGGCAAGTGATCACCAGCTACTCTCTGGTGACACTGGGCTTGGCAGCATGCCACAGTTCCAGGTCAGCCCCACGACCATGAGGGGAAACAACCAAGGCTCTACAGTGGACCTTGTTGCCAAGTTCGGGTATTTGGCAGGTCAGCTGTATCTGACCCATTTTCAACTGATGACTTTATTGGGACGTAACTCAGTAACCCATGCGGAGTCCAGGGGCGTCTGCACAGTATCTGATTTGCACCTACCTGTCAAGGCGGCTTCCCTTATGATCGAAGGAGTCATTTATAAACCTAATCCTTTCTCCATTCTGAATCTAAGCCACCTGAGAGATCTAAATCCATCAGCGAGATTTCCCTCTCCACTTACTGCTGAGTAAAACAAAACGCCCAAGAATTTGATAGCAATACAGATTTGAGTGAACGCCACATTTGGATGGAAAGGGAAGACCGTGAGGTCAGCTAATGGTATGACCCAGGTGAGAGGTGGATTTCTATCTCTCAAAAAATGGTGTGCCTGTCCCTGAAGAGATAAAAAGTGGCCCTTACCTCCTGCTGCTGTTGCCACAGCACCAACCTGCTTGTTCTCACTCTGCCTTCCTGTGAGCACTACTCAGTTGATCACCTACTCTCCACCAATCTATTTCTGCTACTCCCAAACTAGATTTTGAAATCCTCCATGGCTGAGGACTGCTGACATTTTCATCTCCTCTCAAACACACACTTTGTGTACCCTCCACGAGCCTGGTGCTGGCACAGGCACCTAATAGGTCCTCCAGAGAATGATTACTTCTTGGCCACAAAATTTCAAATAACATCAAGACTAAAGAGGCTGATGATGATCAGGACTATGGCAAAGGTACAGCCACAGGCACTGAAGGGCGAGTGACTGTGCCTCTGGGCCGCCCTGACTAGGTGGCCGAGCTCAAGCCCATGCCAGAGTCCAGGTATGAAAAGGCAACTGGCTTTCTCTGACAAAATTTGACTTTTATATATAATTTCACAGCACGCCCCAATCCTCCTGGAATGAGGAGGAGTCCCCTTTTTGTAAGTGGCACAAAATGCCAGATCCCCCTGCAGCTTCCCAGTGGAAAGCCTTTGCCCTGGGGACCCTGGGTAGTGCATCCTGCCCAGCTGGGTGTCATGGGCCTAGTAGAGGAGACTCAGTGTGACTCCAGCACAGAGGGAATGTACTCTGAAACTCAGTCCCGACATGATCCCACAGGGTCACACCTGCCACCTGAGCTCTGGTAGGTGTGAGGTGGGTCGCACTAGCCCTGCCACACACCTGGACTTTCTTGCTGTCCTGCTCTCTCTTCTCCAGCTGCACCTGCAGCTTCTTCCTCTCCTGCTCGAGCTCCCGCACCCTCTTCTGCAGCTTCAGGAACACTGTCATGTCCATGGCTGCCTTCTCCACGCCAATTTCCTGCAAAGGAAGAAGGGAGCAGGGAAAAGAGCTTTCTTGGCCCAAGTGCCTTTGGGAGCACACAGCACCTATCAGCCACCTGTCTCCTTGCTCCTCCCAAACATCAATTGTGCCTGAAATACAAAGTCCACGCCAACCAACCAGCATTGCTCATATTACAGTTGGTGCTCCAAGATCATTCTCTCTCTAGATTAACGTCCGAGTCTCAGCCATTTACATTTCTCCTGTTGGCCACTTAAAATGACCAATCCCATATTTTAAGAACACATGGATAGAGACACATTCATTTTCTTTGGAAGCTAAGAGAGTTCACTCCTGGAAAGTGAACCGTAAAACTCAGGATATCATGCTTCCTGATGAAGAATCAATGTCTTTACTAATCATTGTAAATATGCTGTCAGCCACCACTGGATTGCATCTTGAAATGGAACCAACACGTTGTTTAGGTTGTGGATGATTGAGCCAGAGCATATAAATGCATGGGTGCAGATATGAAGAAATGCTAGGGGTTGGTTGGTACCAATGGCTACTGTTATTAGTCTCAGTTGACCAAGTAGAAAATAAGATTTTTTTTTTTAATATCATTTTGGGTTAGAGAACAGATGGCAGTAAAAGGGTAGCCCAGTTTGGGCCTTAGCTATCATGAATTCAGACATTTTAAGACTACTTTTGCATATTATTTTTATTAGAACTAGGGCTTTTTATAGCTTAGGAGAGACTTAAAGGAACTCTGCAAACAGCAACCCTGCCTGTTTACCAAAAACATCACCTCTAGCATAAACAGTATTAGAGGCACTGCCTGCCCAGTGCCATGTTTAATGGCCATGGTATGCTGACCCCAAAGGCAACATAATCACTTGTTCCTTAAATAGGGACTGGTATGAATGGCTTAACGAGGTTTTAACTATCTCTTACTTTCAGTGAAATTAACCTTTCTAAGAGGCAGGAATAAAACAAGACAAGAAGACCCTATGGAGCTTAAAATTTCATAGCCAAAGCATCCCCAGTAATACCCAAGGATTGCATCTTAAAATGGAGCCCTGCCATGGAACTCAAACAGATCTTAAAGCATCAATTTCCTAGATTTTTTTTCCCCTGTCAGATTCATGCCTAGATTTGCCCTCCAGGGTTCTGTTATGTGTAGGTTTGTGTGTGCAGGCATGTGACTGGGTAATGTGTATGAATACAGACTGTACACGTATATGCAGTACATTTTAAGTACACATATGTGCATGCATGACAATATGGTCTGGTTCCACCCTCATTTAATAAGCGCTCCATGCTTAGCTGTCACTGGATAGGTCTTGCTTCCTTGGAGAATGCAGACCTGGGATGGCAATGCTTCTGTGTGGAAACAGGCAAAAGCAAACTGGGCAGTGCACCAGCAGCTCAGTCCAAATGGAGATTCCAGTGTCCTAGACCGAGACCCCCCAAGAGCAAAGCCAACGGCCTTAAGTCAGCATTTATTAAAGGCTCACCAAGTGCATATAGCAAGCTCCACAGAACTGTACAACAGCCAGAAGACTTTCTGCTGAGGATCTCTTCCCTCCCTCCACCCTCTATTCCACTGTTTTCTGTCTTTATCACCTTTCACTTTTCTTCATAACACTTAGTGGTACCTGAAATTATATTGCACATTTTTTTCTTCTCACTATTTACTGTCTAACTCTCCACTAGATAAGCTCCATGAGGGCAGAGCCTTCTCTGGCTTGTTACTATTTTTTACATCCATATGACAGACTTTCTGGAAACACACTTAGTTGTAACAGTCTCTTTCCCAAGTCTACCTGCACCTGCTTTATATTATCTTCCTACTAGAGGAATCATATGCCTGTACATCTTTGATAAAATGAAACACACAACACATATTGTATGGTATTTGACTTCAAGATGGCAAGAGCTATTATCAGCACAAAGAGACACCCCTGCACATTTCTGTTTCACACACTATTCTTGAGTTACCCAGCTTCTAAGTTGGAGGGGAGAATTCTGTGTTGTACTTATTCGTATTACCATATGCACTGTTACTAAATGGGAGGGGTAATAACTGTACCTATTTTAATCACTTCGCCTTCTTAAGTGAGTCATTCCAGCCCTCTGCCCTAGTTTTGTTAGGGGAACTAGGGATCTACCTTCCTCCCTCCCTTCTGTAGAGAGAATTAGGGAAGTTACAGGCTGCTCAGCACGGAAAATGTTAGCCCCGAGCCGAGTGTGATCTGTAAGTCCACTGCAGTCCCAGTGATCTTGCTTCTCCAGGACGAGCCCCAGTGCATTCTGGTCACCACCAACAGCTGGTCTGTTAGGCAACACCACAGGTAATAAACACTCACTCTGGGGTGGGGTAGCCACCAAGAACCCTCTCACCTACCTCCACCTGCTGGAGGGCATCCTCAGTGTCTCCGATCTCAGATGTGGATATGGAGGGGTAATTGGAGTCAGATTCTAAGCTACTTTGGTTTGATGGGTTCCGCCTATGACCTGGGGTTTGCTGTTCAGAAAAAGAAACGGGACATGTCATAATGAACTCATTTATTAGTAAGAACTAACTTAAGCAGCAGCATGCCTTGGATTTGCTCCTGCCTCATTTGTCAGCAAGAATAGGTATCACCGTTTCTCAAAATGATGGCTGAGTAGAGCTATTCCCACAAAAGACTTCACCTGTAGTTCTTAGTCATCCACCTAGCTAGTCATCAACATGACAGAAGACAGCGTGGCTCTGCAGGAAGGATTGTGTTCCTTGGTCTCTCAATGGCAGGCAAACCCACAATGCCAAGGCCTATTTCTCTGAACAATCCTTGGGAACGACTCGTCATTCCCAGTCTTGTCCTCAAAATATGTAGAGGGTCCCACACCCAGGCTGTCTCTTAAAAAGAACACTCGGGAAGCTGAGGCAGGAGGATCACAGATTCAAGATCAGCCTGGTCAACTTAGCAAGAGTCTCAAAATAAATAAAAAGGGCTGGGGGAAGGCTGCCCCAAACAATCCCTCCCTTTAACTATTGCACCAGTCTTGTTTATGGTGGAGCATATCAGAATAGAAACAATCAAAAATAGATTTACCATTTATACAGCTCATTTAAAAATATATTTGGGTTTATTTTTTGGCATCTGCTTTGGATTTCATAGTGAAAAGTGAGCTTAGAGGAAGACTGCAGATTTCTATATAAGTTCCTATTCAGCTTCTCTTCCTGGCTTCTACGCAATTAAGTCTTTTGGTCTTGAGATGCATGACTTGAGGGAATGTTTACATGGGGTAAAGAATGATGAATCCTGAAATATGAAAATGCTTCACATACACTGTTTTTCATGAGAGAGAGGAGGCATGAGCAGGCCCATGGGCTTTCTCTGCTACACACACTATTACACACTCCAGTGTAGCCAAGTTAAAGCCCCCACACCATTACTGTGTCAACATAGGAGTCTTCCTAGAACAAGAAACAGGAGCCATCACATAATACTTGATGGAGATTGAACCCACCACTGAGCTACATTCCCAGGACCCCATCACCTGCACTTTAAAATTTTGGGACAGGGTCTCACTGAGATGCTGAGATTGACCTTGAACTTGTGATCCTCTTGCCTTAGTCTTCCGAGTCACTGGCAGTATAGTCATGTGCCATAGCACCTAGCTCAGCTCCTGAGATCTTTACAAAACCTTGACCCTGGATAAAGAGCATCCCCAGGAAGGAACCTCCCAGCTCAGTTCCTCCCATGCATGCAAGTACAGACGCCAGGGGCCTGCTGTGTGCGCACATGTGTACTGAGCATCATGGTGGGTCAGGTGCACCAGGGCAAAGGCCATAAGGCCAGGTTGGAAAGGGGAGACAGAGGGGCCAGTATTGCAGAACTGCCCTCCTTGCCTTTAGAATGGTCACCTCATCCCGCAGGTTGTCGTATCTCTGCTCCAACCGGGAATATTCCTTCACCAGGTTCTGGTACCGGGAACGCTCCTCCTCCAGCTCCTTCTTCATCAGAAGGTTCTCCTTCACGGAGTTTTGTGCAAATTCATCTGGAATGCAGGCACACTGAGCTGCAGTGCTGCCATCTGAGTGGACCCCCTCACACGCATTGCTGCCTGCTTTCTATTGTCAGGAGGCAGCCTACAAAGAGCTCATTACCTGATGGCCAGCACAACTCCTCACCTACTGCAAAGCAGGGGAAGCTCATCACTCTCGCCTAAGTCTTCAGAAAAGGGAGAAGAAACAACTCTGCTTCTGGAGGTGGGGCAGGAGGAGCCTGGATAATCCACCTGCCTCGATGACAACTGCCAGCAACTGTGGGCAGCATTCCTGGCAGAACTGAAGCTGCTTCCCAGCTCCTTCCCTATTCCTGATTTTTTAGGTTCTGGAGTGCAGGAGGTTGGAGGAGATTAAGCCAAAAGTGAGGCTGGGGAAGGAGGAAAGGCAAAGAAGCAACACAGATGGGCTTTTGTCCTGGCCAAGTTTGATACAGCTCGACACAGCAAGGGAAGCTTTTTTAAGGGGAAATTGACAAACCATGTGACAATATTTTATGCCGGATGGCACCGTGAGGTCATGTGGTTCGGCTGCCTGGTGATATGGATGAGGAATCTGAGGATGGAGGCCGGGGACTGGGTCACACAGATTTGGGGACAGAACTGGGGTCCCTTTGCCCCTCCACAGCCAAGTGGATGACAGTCCAGGAGCTGGTGGGTACTTGAGGCTGACCTGGGGTCTAATCCAAGACCTCTGCTTGAGCAGCCATTAACAGATGACCCACTAGATAACAGAAACAGGTACCGTGGATGCTGAAGGTAGATGTTAATGGCACAAGGGCGCTCACTACAAGCTCCAGCCTTAGCCCTTCACCTCTGCATCTTCCTCCTGTGAGCTCTGTCCTCTGGCCAGTTTGCATAGAAATAAATCCAGAAGCTGCCCAAGGCCACACAGCAGAGGCTGCTTGGCATCACTCTCTTCAAACCGAATGTCACTGCATGAACTTAGAGATCACCCCACCCCCATTCAAGCCCTTCCTCCACTGCAGTGTCTAGGAGTCTTTGGAGGAAAACCAGAGAGGAAGAGATTAAAATCCAAACAAAACTCAAGGGCTTTGGGCCTTACCTTTAGATTGGCACAGAATTTGGTTATTCAGCTGTTCTTTCTCATCTTTCAGGAGAGCATTTTCTTGCTCCAGGTCTGCAACTCTCTGAAAGAACAGGAAAAAATGATCCCTCGTGTATTTATAATAGCATCAAAAATAGTTAGGAAAAAGCTCAAGTGTTATGAAACTGTAAATTACTGTTGAAAAAAATTATAGTTCTAAATAAACTGAAAAACCTTGAGGTAATGGATTAAAAGACAATATTGTTAAGATAGTAACACTCCTCAAATTTATTTGCAAATGCAACATAAGGATCAAGATCCCAGCTGGCTTCTTTGCAGAAATTAACAAGCTGACCCTAAAATTCATATGGAAAATCTACAGAATAGGCATAATACCTTGAAAAAGAAAGACAAAGCTATAGGAATTCCACTTCTAAATTTTAAAACTTACTATAATATATGGTACTCAGGAGTGTGGTGCTGGCATAAGGAAAAACATGCAGATCAATGACATACAACTGTCACAGTGACGTTGACAGTCAATTGATTTTTGACAAGAGTGCCAAAACAATTCTATGAGGGAATGAATAGTCTATTCATTACATGGTACAAGGTAAAATGGATATCTATACTTGCAAATGAATGATGTTGGACCACTACCTCACCACATATAGAAACTGACTCAAAGACAAACGAGATAAAACTGTAAAACTCTTAAAACATAGGGATCAAGTCATTGTGACCTTGGACCAGGCAAGGTTTTCTTAGATACAACACCAAAACCATCAAAAGAGTAAACTGGAGTGTCAAAATTTATGACTTTTGTGCACCCAAAACATCAAGACAATGAAAAGATGGGAGAAAACATTTGCAAATCCTATATCCGATGTAGGACTCGTGCCATGAACATATAAAGAACACTTGGAGCTTAACAATAAAAAGACAAACTGGTATAAAAATTGGGCAAAGGACTGGAACCCACATTTCTACATATTTGATCTTAGCTAGAAGGCTGAGAAGTGGTGACACTTCTCCAAAGACTTACAAATGGCCAACAGCAACTGAAAAGACCTCATTGTCATTAGGGAAATGCAAACCAAACCCACAATGTGATGCTACTTCACACGCTAGGATGGCTATACTATGACTTGCTCCCTATGTTTTAAGAGTTTTACAGTTTTATCTTGTCTTTGAGTCAATTTCTATACAGTAATAAGAATTGGTAAGGATGTGAAGCAATCAGAACCCTTGTACTTCTGGAGGGAATTTAAAAGTATAGCAGTTTTAGAAAAATAGTCTGGCACTTCCTCAAGGTTAAACAGTTGTCACATGACCCAGAAATTCCACTCCTAAGTATAACTCCAAAAGAAAGAAAAACTTATCCCATGTGAAAACTTGCACAAAGATGTTTAGCGCAACACTATTCATAAGAGTGTAAATAACCCCAAAGTTCACCAACGAATGAATAAAACATGGTTGATCCATACAATGAAATTATTCAGTAATAAAGAATGAAGTATTGCATCTATACTAAGTAAAAGATGCCATTCACAAAAAGACCACATATTGCATGATTCTGCTTATATGAAATGTCCAGAAGAGGTAAATCTACAGAGACTAGTAGGTTAGGGATTGACTAGAATGGGGGTGGGGGGTCTGGGGGAAATGGAACATGCTTGCTAATGGCTTTAGAGTTCCTTTTTTGTGGTGATGAAAATGTTCTAAAATTACTATAGAAATGATTGTGAAAAATCATTATAGTGATGGTTATAAAACTCTGAATTTAGTTAAAACCAATGAATTATACACCTGAAAGAAGGCAGTCAAAAGAATCATTTCACAAACCAACCTATTAAGCACAGTGTACTCTGCTGAGGGACACAGCCAGGACCCCCCCTCTCTCTGGTATAGATCGTTTCCAGCTACCTTCCAGAGGACTCTTCCTCATCTGTGTAGAAAGTGTGTCAAAAATAACATCCTCAGGATAATAATGCTTAATTACTAGCACATGCCCAGTGGGAGAGCTGGTGACCTCCTGGGACAGCAACCTTGGCGATGACCGACAGCAGAGTGGAGTGGAGATGACCACCCAGACCTCTGAGGACCCGCCCACTGCCGTCAGGGAAACACCTCCCAGCTCTTCCCTTCCACTCCAGGCTTTAAAAAACCAAGAGGCGAGTGACAAGAAAAGCTGCTACACCCTCCAGCCCTGCCCAGATGTTAACAAGTCTGGAGCCCAGGGGCCAGGTCACTGGCTCTCCCACAGGGGCTCAGAAGACAGCTTCCTCGGAGAAGCTGTCGGGCCTGCAGGTGGCCGTGTATTAGGTTTGTTCTGTAAAGCCCCATAGAGAGAAAGATACACAGAGTATTGATAGGGGTTTGCAAAAAGAACTCCAAGCACTTTGTCAACACTATCAAATGTCTTCAAATTTCCTAAGAGTTTTCACTCTCATTCAAAACATGGCCCAAAACTACCTACACCAATCCTTTCAAGTCCTATTTGTTTATAGGACCAGCTAAAAGGATGCTGGTTCCCTCAACTCAGTCCCAGAAGCATACTTCTGGAGGTTCTGCCCCAAGCCACAGGCATGAGACTGACAGGTGTCAGAGCACATCAAAAGCCATGCAGGTCATCCTGACACTACCCTAGGTTACGAGCTACTGCTCACATCCAGCAGTCCTGCTCTCCTCATCAGTCAGCTATAAACAGGGACGCTCCATCAAATAGTCATGCAAAGGGGAAGTTTCCTCTCTACAGGTGATCAAATGAAAAAGGACACGTGCACATAATTGCAGCCGTGTTACTCTTCTTTGACAATTTGTCTGATAATTAATGTGACTGATGTTTTGTACCTATAGACACTTTAGTCTCTTGCCTGACTTCATGATGGGGGCAGGTACAGAAGTGGCCGAGACTGAGAATGTACAAGTAGAGGGGTTGTGCCACTTGGCTCATCAGCCTACTTCTGGTCCAAGCGATGACACAGGTCATGCCACTCAGCCGTGGGCATTTTTCTGACCTGCCTTCCTGTGTCAGGAGCCTCACTGGAGGCTGGGGATGCCAGGTGGGTAAAATCTGTAATCATGGCCCTCAGTGCCCAGCAGGGGGAGGACAGACCACAAATATAATGTAACTGATAAGGGATATAACCATCTCTATACAGCAAGGTTTCTAAGCCTCACACTGTTAATTCCCTGTTGTGGGAGGGGGCTGCCCTGTGCATTATTGGATATTTGGCAGCAAACCTGGCTCCTACTCACTCGATACCAGAATACCACCCCCCATCTGTGACCACCAGACTGTCTCCAGACATTGCTGTGTCCCCCGACAGCAAAACTTCTGTGAGAGAGCCATTCCTGTAATGCAATTCCAGGGAAAGGGAGAGGACAAGGACACAGCCTGAAGCCTTCACAGGAGCTCTTCGTCAGGCTCATAATTGGGGTGTCCCAGGACAAAGGCTTGGGGGAGTAAGGGTAGGACTCCCAGTTGAGAGGCTGGGTTGGAGCAGGGGGAGTGGGAAAATTCATGGCTGGGTGGACTGAAGGACCATGAATCAGAATGTCCTCAAGGCAAAGGGGGAAAAGCCATCTCACAAACTTCTACTCTTAACCCCACCTGAGCAGGCCCAGCTTCTCCACCCCTTCTTCCTGCCTGGGCTTTCCCCTGTTCCTCCGGCAGGTTTCAAAGAGAACCCATACTTTACAGGTTAATTTGTTCTCATTAGTTAGTTCCATGTATCCTCTTCTGGGAAGTCTCTTCCCGTCTCTTGAGGCTGTGGGGAGCTGCCATGCCCACTGGCCTGCTCTCACGGAATCCATGCATCCCTCCGGAGCTTTCAGACTGCACCGATTCCTGGACCACCTGCTCAGCCTGGACCAGAGACCTTAGCATGGACCAAGGAACCATATCTGCAAGGGACCATACCACCAGGCTGCAGATCCTCAGAACCCAGCCCACTGCCAGCACTGATCGCTTGCTGAATGAACACATGAGCCTTGCAGACAGAATTAAGAACCTGTGTTTTCCTCAGTCAACAATAAGGTCTCCCTTTTTTTTCTTTTCTAAAACAAATGTGTTTGTAATTGGCTAAAACATTTACAATAGGTTGTTTCATCAAATAACTCAATTTAGGAAACGTACAAAGGAAACAATGCTCTTCAAATCCATCTAATTTGCTATCCATCAGGCTGTTCACCACTCCACGACTTTATGAGCACCTTTAAATTAGCTTGACACACAATTAAAACAGCCTTCACTTTCCTAAATAAGTAAAGTTGAACTGAAAACCCTGTGGAATAAACCTCGTAATATGTGCCTCTACAAAGTAATACCTGCAGCAGAGTAATGCCCACCACACCAGTCCTGTGCCATGGCAGGAGGTTCAGATCCCAGACCTGACCCACCAGGAACAAGGCTGAACCCCCTGCCTTCACCAAGGCCTGAGGTTTCCCAGCTGCTGTGAAGCAGGCAGACCTTCCCAGGGAACAAGACTTTCCATTAACCAATTTCCAACTATCCTGACAGCTCACAAAGTAGCCCATCACTTCCTCTGGGTATTCTATAGAAAGTCACGGTCCCTCTGCAACGGATCATGCCATTGGTCAGCACCAAACATAGGTCATTTCCAGTAGATGGAACCAGAAATCTCCATCCCTATGAACACCAGCAAATACCATGGAACTTCATTGCAACAACCTGTGATCTGTGATCTGAGACAAGAACATAGTAAGGGAGGGAGGGTCATGTATGTTGCCTATTGTTTTTGAGCCTCATTTTTTCCTCTGGGGGGTTTGTTTGATTCAGGAATGCAGGCCATTTTAAGGCATACACCAAAGCGGCATCAAGGGATTTTCTTTCTTGCCTAAAAGAATTCTGGAGACTGGTCCACTCCCCTGATCATTAGTGAGCCTCAGGCAGAGACAATCCCACACTCAGTTCCATGCCCAGGGAGGTCAGAGAAAGCTTCCCTGGCCATTGGGTCGGGGCCAGGCTGTCTTCCCAGTCAGCCAGCATAAGGAGAATTTGTTGGCAGGTGCAGTAGGGATGAACTTTTGCAGCCAAATGGCTCCCTTTTTGGGCTGTCAGGGATGCAAGGTGGAGTA